TCCACGCCGGCGCCGCTTCCGGCTCTCGGACCGTACCGGAATCCGGAGCTTCGGTCGCCCACGGGGTTCCCGGAAATGACCTGTTCAGGCTTCCGGTTCGCAGGCGGCCGAAAATGGCACTGGTCACCGCCGCGTTACCGGCTCTGGCGAGGGTGAGAGGCGCGGAGGCCCTGGGGTTCTTGGACCGTCACGGCGACCGCAGGGAGGGCTCGCGAGCCGGGACAAGGGCGGACCCGAAGGCAGGCCCATCCTGCGACTCGGAATTCCGGTGGTTGCTGTCCTTTCCGCCCCGGAATGTCATTGACAGGTCCCCAGGCTCAGGTGTGTCATTTTCTTTCCAAGCCGAGTTGCCCGATCTTCTCTGGGCATTCCGCCTTGGTCCTACAGTCTCTTTGGACCCTGGTGAGAATGTCACGTTGTTTTTTGAAGTTTTGTGCCCGTCTCTAGATTGAGGGCCATTGGAGAGTTAGGGACCAAGCTGTGACTGTGTCTTTATGTCCTCAGGGGTTAATAGCGACAGGTGAGTGTAATACCAGGAAAACCCCTTGTGGACCGGTGGATTCCGACCCTGAACAACCCTGTGAAACACACTAGAACTGCCCCCTGGGTTGCCTGAGACTAAATCCTTACGGAAACAGACAGCCCCGTCTTTCTCCCAAATGAAGAGTAGCTGATAGGGTCCAACCCCTGCTTAACTGCTGCGCCACTAGCCCCCCCAGGATCGTTGGCAGGTTTGGCTTGGCATGTTTGGGTTGGCATGTACTTTGCACCTCCTAATGTCTAATGACCAACAGTGAGCGTAATCCAAGCTGTTCTGCACCTGTGTCCCATTTAACCGTTTCAGGCACTCACTCTGCCAGCCCGCAGCCTCACTTGGCCTGTGCTTGGCACCACCACATCCAGGCGCTTTTACAGAGGTGACAGCCCCACAGATTCCCAGAAAGACTTGATTGAAATCCCACTGCCTCCGTGGCAGGAGCGGACTGATGAATCCGTAGACACCAAAAGAGCCCGCCTGCTGTATGAGAGCAGAAAGAGGGGCATGTTGGAGAACTGCATCCTCCTTAGGTAAGAGCCAGATGAACCCCCATTCATCTATCTCCCTTGGTCCCGAGGCAGTCTTTCAACCCTCTTCTCTTTTGCCCTTGTGTCTAGCCTGTTTGCTAAAGAACATCTGCACCGCATGACCGAGAAGCAGCTGAACCTCTATGATCGCCTGATTAATGAGCCCAGTAACGACTGGGATATTTACTACTGGGCCACAGGTAGGTGAAACTAGGACGACTTGGGTGCTTTGAGACTCTGGAATTGGATCCAAGGCAATTTTTAAATTTTATTCACTGGTAGACACTCAACCCAAACGTTCTTCACCATTTCCCCAAGGGCAGAGTTAGTTAGTTTCCAAAGGGATTTTAGCCACAGGTTATGGATGCTCACAGTACAGTATGAATGTGCAGGCTAAAGAAACCAGCAGGGAATGTGCTAGAACCAGACAGCTCTGTGTGTGCATAGCAAGAACCACACAACGTTCGCACTCTGGCACTACTTTTGTAAGATTGGATCTCAACCATGTAGTGAAAATGAAAATTCAAAACAAACTCTCCACCATTGAGTCGATTGTAACTCATAGTGGCCCTATAGGACAGTGGAGAACTGCCCCCGTGGCTTTCTGAGGCTGTAAATCTTTACAGGAGCAGAAAGCGTCATCTTTCTCCCATGGAGCGACCGATGGGCTCAAACCACCAACCTCGCAGTCAGCAGCCCAACTCGTAACTCACTATGCCAGCAGGGTTCCTAGGGAAGATGAAAGAGCCCCAGTTTCCCAAGTACTAAGAGGAAAGGACTGTCCCTTCCACTTGTCACCAGTGTCTGTGTGGAAGGTCATAGCACTGTTCATCGGCACTTTCTAGAAGAGAGCGGGGCCTGTTTGTCCAGTACCAGCAGGCAGGTGTCTTAGTAAGCTAGACACCTGGGCTGCTAACTGACCCACCGGTTCCACTGCAGGAGAAAGATGAGATTTATGGTCTTGGGAATCCTTTGCAGGGACCCACCCTATGAATCTGCATCAACTTGCTGGTTGTGGGTTTGGTTTTGATTTGGTCAGAAATGGGCTGGCTCAGAGGATGCGCAGACGTGGGTGGAGTGGAGGGACCATTATCATTGTTGGTGTCGTAGATCTTGGCTGAAAGCAGAGAATACCAAAGCCAATAAAATACAAGTAAATGTCTTTCTGGTATTCACTGCTTTCAGCCAAGATCCATCTGACGTCAGCAGTGAAATCCCTCCATGCCATGTCCTCTTCTGAATCTGCCTCAAAATTGTTCATAGTGGTCCCTTGTTTTTTAAATGACTGAGAACCTGTGGTGCTAACTCTCCTTCTTTCCCCCCTGCAGTTAATGGACTGTCTTCTTTTTAAAAAAAATCATTTTATTGGGGCTCCTACAACTCTTTTTTTTAATTTATTTCTATTAGGGGCTCATACCACTCTTATCACAATCCATACATACATCC